TTTGACAAAGGGGCCAAACATACTCGCTGGAAGAAAGATAGCCTCTTTAACAAATGGTACTGGAAAAACTGGCTCTCTATATGCTGAAAACTAAAACTTGACCCAGGTCTATCACCATGCACTAAGCTAAAGTCAAAATGAATTCAAGATCTGAACATTAAAATAGAAACACTAAATTTCCTGGAAGAGAAAGTAGGAGGAACTCTAGAAGACATAGGGGTAGGCAAAGAGTTCATGAACAAAAATTAAATCGCACGGATAACACGTGAAAGAATTAACAACTGGGACTTCCTCTTATTGAGAAGTTTTTGCACATCAGAAGAAATTACCAACAAAGTGAAGACAACCCACAAATTTGGAAAAAATTTTGACTAATAAGCACTCAGACAAAGGTCTGCTCTCTAGAATGTATAAAGAACTTAAAAACATTAGGGCCCTAAAATTTAAAGACCTAACTCAGAAATGGGCATCTGATATGAACACATACTTCTCAGAGGATGAAATTAAAGAAGCGAATAAATATTTGAAAAAATACTCCACATCACTAGCCATCCGTGAAATGCAAATTAAAACAACACTGAGATACCATCTCACTCTAGAAAGAATGGCTATCATAAAGAAATCACCCAACCACAATGGGGAAAAAGGAACCCTTCTCCACTGCTGATGGGAATGTAGACTGGTGCAATCATTATGGAAATCAGTGTGGAGACTCCTTATAAAACTAGGACTTGAAATCCCATTCCAACCAGTTATCCCCCTACTGGGAATTTTCTTGGAGGAACTGAAAACATTATATCATAGTGATATATGTGTACCTATGTCTATAGCAGCACAATTTGTGATAGCCAAATCTTGGCAACAACCAAAATGCCCGTCACCTGAGGAACGGATGAAAAAGATGTATTTTTATACAATGGAGTACTACTCAGCTATAAAGAGTGATAAACTCGAAACCTTTATATATAAGTTGATGCCACTTGACAATATACTCATAAGTGAAATAAACCAGACCTACATATGTAAATATCATATAGTCTCCCTAGTATAAGAACTCAAAGGAATAATTAAAAATAGAAAGGCAAAACACAATTAAAATGAAGCAAGAACTTGAAGATTGGTTCACAAAGAGAGGGCAAGGAGAAAAGCTAGAAAACGTGACAGGGGCAAAGTCATACATTTATATGCACAAGATGGGAGAGACAATATTCCTGAGAATCTTCAGCATGTTGTTTAAAAATAGCAGTTAATTGGTAGGTTTCTCACCCTGACTATATAAGCTGATACATGTGAATGAAGCAACTGCACTGAAGAAAGCAATGCATAATGGTAGGGTCATGATTTGAATGCCTGTCATTCTGGTCTTCTAATTATGTACTGCTTGTCATGACATACCAAT